GAGGGGCACTGCGGGAGCTGTAGTCCCCCCCGCGTTGCCGTGGCGTCACTTCCCGCCCCCCCGCACACGCCTATTCCGGGGCGTAACCCGGAAGCTGGGCGTCGCCGCTCTGCCCCCGTGCGGCTCTCTGGTCGCGCGGCGCACTCTGGGGGTTGTGGTCTTGCATGGCGCAAGGGCGGCCTCTGCGCGTGCGCAGGCGGCCCGCCGCGGCGTGGGAGGCATTTTGGGCCGAGGCGCGTGCACCGGGCGCAGCGAGGAGGCTCCTGCGCGTTCCCGGGACGCGGGAGCGACCCCGCATCGGGAGGGCCCGAGCCCGGGGCTTCGCGGCCTCGCCAGCGGGGGAGGTTCTCGGAGGGCCGCGCGGGGCAGCCCCGGCCCGCCGCCTGCAGCGTGACCCGGGCGCGGGAGCCGCTCCCCGGGAGAGCTGGCCGCGCTCGGCCGCTTGGACTTCGCATCGCTCGGAGGGGAGGCGCGGAGCACGCGCAGCAGCGGAGGGGGGGGGGCATATTGAAAGCCAGACAGAGTCAGGGCGGCGGGCGTGGCCTGCTTCGGGCGAGGGGCTCAGGACGTCGCCCCTTTCCGTGTTACGCTCACAGTAACCCTGCGAGGTGCCCCCCCCCCCCGGGAACCAAGACTGGCCCAGGGATCCTCAAGGAGGAGCGCAGAGGGGGCCGGCCTCCCAGTCCCCGCCCGCACTCTGCCCCCCGCGAGGGGCCGTCCTGTGCAGCAGGTGGGTGGCTGGCTCAGGACCGGTCGAGGGGGCCCCTGGCACAGCGCTGCACTGGTTGTGGGCTCTGCCACCCGTGAGGGGGTGATGACCCCCGTTTTGGAGGGCTTTCGGAGGGCAGGCAGAGCCAGAGCACAAGGTCGCCGCTGTCCAGTCCAGTGGGCCTTGGAGGCCGTGTGGCTGCTGAGGAGCACTGGCCCCGGAAGGCCCCTGGCTTCCCCACAGGGCCGTTGCAGTGAGATCAGAGGGTGTGAAAGGGGCTGGTGGGATGCTGCTTCCTGCCCGCCTGCCAGGCATATTTGAAGCCAGACAGGACTATTGTGGAGAATGCCTCCAGATCGCCTGCCCAATTTCTGACCATCCTCACGGCAGCAGAATTAGGACCCCGGCTCTTCCTGGGCAGGACTCATCCCTTCAGCCCCACGACTCCTGAGCTGGGCTAGGCAGGGCCAAGCACGTGTGGCTGGTGTCCCTTCAACTCGAGAGGAGGCCGTGTGGGGCTGGAGAGGCATGCACAGGGCCCACTCAAGGCTGTTTCCCGCAGCCGTCGGAGGAAGGACACTTCCCCCTTCAGTTGCTTCCTGTGGGACAAGCGGCTCAGTCGTGCATGCTCTCGGGCAGGACAAATCCTGAACGCCCGCTTCGCCCCAGCCAAGCACAACAGCACGGTCCTGCCCTCGTCTCCTCACACGGTCCTGCCCTCGTCTCCTCACGCAGTCCTGCTCTCGTCCACAACTCGCGGTCCTGCGTGAGTGCAGGATGCAGGCGGAGGTTCTCTTCCCGTTCAGAGGCAGCCTCCCCATAAGGAGCAGGGGCCCCCCATGTGCTTGCCTGGAAGCCACCGTGCCCCAGGAGCAGGGCTGGGGGTTCTGCCCAGCTTGGCAAAGGGACCTCGGGACGCCTTGCGCAGGCTTCAGGAGGTGGCGCTGTGGGCTGGCGTGTGCCGCAGGACTGCCTTCCTGAGAGCGCTGGCAGGTGAGGGACTAGGGGCCGGCTTCCCGCGCGCGGCTTCCCTGGGGCTGAAACGGGGGCTTGGGCTAGTCCTGCATTACCCTGGGGGGAGCTAAGTATACCTTTATTACTATAATTAATTAATTGATCAGGCAACCATCTAACGCCTTTACAAGGCAGCTTCTGCCTTAAGGCTTGCGATCGACGATAACACGAGATTTAACATGGATTTCTCAAGAACAAGGCTGATCTCATTTTTCGATCGGATTACCTTCCTTCTAGACTGTGGGAATGCTGCAGCTACATCTTGGTTCAGCAGCGCTTTTGACCAAGTGCCCCATGACATTCTGATCAGGAAACTAGCCCAAGGTGGGCTAGATGGGGAGAACAGGCCTCTCCCCGCCTCTGTGTGACACCCCCTCACATACCTGCATGTCGCCAACAGACCCCCTCTGAGTCTCCTCCAGGCTGAAGAGACCCCGTTCCCTCAGTCTCGCCTCGTACGGCATCCCCTGCAATCCGGCCATCTGCCTTGTGGCCCTGCGCTGCACTGGCTCCAACCTGGCTAGATCCTTCCTGTAATGGGGAGCCCCGAACTGAACAGACCACATGGGCGTTGTGGCTTGCAGTCCCTGACAGACACAGGATCTTGCTGGCTCCCGAGAGCACTGGGGACACCGTTAGAGGTCCGTGACCTATCCTCCCCTGTGTTGGAGGGAAAGCTGCAATCCAGTGGGGCAAAGCTAAAGGAGCCGGATTTCTGGCTGGATGTCAGGACCCCCAGGATATGGAATGCGCTTCCAGGGATGTTGGGGGGGCCCATCAGTGACGGCGTACAAGGAAAGACCGAAGCACTGCATGTGGGGCATTGTATGAACAGGGCCAGCTTGTGCTGGGGGTCAGACTAGATGGCCTGGGAGACCCCTTCCGACTTGCTATGTTGCAGCCCCACAGGTTAGGTCGGGAGTCTGGTCTTTGGCTGGTGCCCAAAACCAATTTCATTTATTTGATCATTACTGCTGTGCTGCCCAATAACCAGAGCGCCCCAGTCAGTTCGTGACATTTAAAGCCATCAAATAGCAGAATGTAACAAACCATAAAACCCCAGAAGCCTTTCCTCGTAAGCGCGTCCCCCTCCCTCGCCCCAAGCCGTGCATCGGCCTGTCTGAAGGACCGAATGGGGCCGGGAAGGGCGCCCCCTGTGGCGGACGTCTCCACGGCCCGCCGAGCCGCTCCTGGCTGCGAGTACTGGCCCGGCGGTTGGGGTCTTGCGAGCGGGAAAGAGGCCGCTCCGCTTCCGGCTGCCGCCGTGCTCAGGGGGCGCCTTCGGCCTGGCTCGGCCCGGCCTCGGTCGCCGAGCCCGCAAGCACACTGGCCGCGGGGCCAGGCCGCTTGCCTCCTCGGTGCACCGCTCCCTTCCTAAACTTCCGAAGGGCTGGAGGCGCGGCACCGACCGTGTCCGGCGCAGGAGGGAGCTCTGCTGCGGGAGGACCCCTCCTGGCCGTTGGAGGCCGCATCCTGCCAGGGCCGCACCATCAAGAGCGCATCCTCTCCGTCTCGATGAGCGGGCACCTTCGCAAGGGTGACGGGCTCTCTCGGCAGACCAGCTCCGAGGCCACGTGGGTTTTCTTTGCACGCCTGCACAAAAACCTCGCACTTGGCGTGCTGGCGGGCAGTGCAGCCCCCCCCCCCCCGGCTGGAGGCATCTTCCCCGGCAGGCTTCCCCACTGGTCTGCCTCTGTGTGTGCGCATCACTCCCAGCCACCTGGCCAGCCTCAAAGGGACCTCGCAGGGCATTGGAGTAGTTCAGCCTCCAGCTGGCTGCCCGTGCCCAGGCGTGCCCAGAGCTGGCACCCAACCGAAGATGGAGTGAGGTGAGCCCTGCCAAGCGGCGCCTGCTCTGGACAGGCGGGGGAACCATCCCGCCACAGCACTCCCCCCGCCAGGGCTCCTCCTTCGCTCGCCCACCTTTCCCTCGCCTGCCGCTGGGTCCAGGGCCAGTCCAGGGCCTGCACAGCCTCTTGGCTCAGAGGACACAGAGAAGTCGCACCGGCGGCCCATCATTCGGGCCTCCCGGCGACTCCCCAGTGGCTTCCCTCGGAGGCTGAAAGGCACGGAGGGCAGAACCCGCAGTCCTGTGTGGTCGCCCAATGCTGGGCACCAGCAAGTAGCGCCACGCCCCACCTGGCAGCCCACAGCGCTGGCTCAGAAGGGTCCTGCAGGCAACAGTCCTGAAAGCCCCTGACAGATCGGAAAGCAGCGCCTCGCGCTCCCCCGCTCCCCGGACAAAGGCCGCCTGTCAGGACAACCTGAGCCAATTCAGCCCCAGAACCAGGCCTGAGCCCACACTGGAGAGAGTCCAGCTGATGCACATCTTCTGAGAATGCCTGGAAGAAGTCATTTTTGCTAACAAGGGATATAGGCAGTGGCTTGGAAAATCCTAAGAGGTTTGCTCCAGGTTCAACGTGCTGCCGCCCCCATTTTTCCCAATATAGTCTTGTTTTGTCTTATTGTCTCTTTTGCTAAACAGCTTTGATTATTTTTATTGTTGTTGGTTAGCCAGTTTGTGTGGGGGGGGGGCAGGGGCCTTTGGGAATCAAACGGAGGCATGGAATTAATTCACCAACTAAGTAATTAACCAGAGCATCACATGTTTGAAACCATGCTTAATTCTCGCATGCATTTTCAGTTGGCTGAGGCAAAGCAGTCGTGCTGAACATTCCCTGCGGGTCTCTGAGCTTGTGGGACCCTCAGAAGCCGCCTCTAGCGGAGCTGGGCAGTGGCTCCCCGCTCCCCGGCTTGGGCGCCAGGAGCTTTGCCAGCCTTGCCTGGAGAACCGGGCCCGAACCCAGGACCGTCTGCGTGCAAACTCCGTGAGCCACCCGCTTGCCCCCTTTCCAAGCGCGACTGCTTGCCAGATTCGGCGACTGGAGGGGCTGCAGGATCTGGCCGCAGCGGAATGCTGGATGCTTGGCCACGGCCACAGGACCCACAGGCGCTAGTGGGAGCCGCTGCAGCGTGGCTTGCTCGCCGTGGCTGGGCAAGCACCATCCCGTCCCTGCTCCAGCTGAGAATCACGGTAGCGCTGGATGGGCCACAGGGCCGGTCGGCCCAGCCCTGCTCCAGCTGCAGCCTCCCTGAGGGGCTGCCCAGCTGCCTCCCGTGGGGGAGACCCTGCCTGCCCCCTGGGTCAT